CCCAAGAATCTGCTTTGCAGCGCCCAGATCCTTCATAGCAAACTGCTTCGACAATTTTTGCTTCAAGTGTATAATCTCTTGCATGTCTGAGCTGCAACGAGCATGTCATCAACGTACAATAATAAATAATGAAGCTGTTGTCGAACCTCTTGATGTAGCAACAATGATCTGCTTGGCATCTGATAAAACCACTGCTACTCATGAAACTATCGAACTTCTTGTACCACTGTCTAGGAGCTTGTTTTAAACCATACAAGCTCTTCTTCAACCTGCATACCAGGTTTTTCTTGTCTGCCTCTATGAAGCCTTCTGGCTGCCTCATATAGATTTCTTCCTCCAAATCACCATGAAGGAAAGCTGTCTTACATCTAACTGCTCAAGATGTAAATTCTCTGCAGCTACAATTTTCAACACAGTCTGATTGTAGACAATTTTACGACTGGAGAGAAAATTTCATTGTAGTCAATACCTTCTTTTTGCTGAAAGCCTTTGACAACCAATCTTGCTTTGTAGCGTTTGCTCCCATCGTGCTTTCTTTGATCCTGTAAATCCACTTGTTGTGGAGCGCTTTTGCCTGGTGGTAATTCAGCTAATTCCCATGTCTGATTTGACATAAGCGAGTCCATCTCATCTTTCATGGAAAACTCCCACTTGACTGAATCCTCCACTTGCATTGCTTCATCATAGTACTCTGGTTCACCATTGTCAGTCAGCAACAAGTAGTGTAAAAAGGAGAATACCGTTGGGTTGGTTTAAGAATTCTGGAGGAGCGTCTCAGTTCTGGTGTGCCTGGTTCTTCTTGAACTGCTTCAGGATTGATCTGAACATCATTTCCAGAAATCTCCTCGAACTCAGCAAATTCCTTTGTTTCAGCTTCGGTATTACTTGATTCTGCGGTTGACCTATCTTTGTACATCACATTTTCATTGAAAATGACGTCTCTGCTTCTGATGATCTTCCGATTTTCATAGTCCCAAAACCGGTAACCGAATCATCACCGCCATAACCAACAAAAGCACATTTGTTGGACTTAGCATCAAGCTTACTTCTTTCAGCAGAGTCTATGTGTACATAAGAAATACAACCAAACACTCTTAAGTGTGAAAGGTTTATTCTTTCTTGCTCCAAACTTCCTCTGGTATTCTGCCATCCAAAGGAACTGAGGGCCCACGGTTGATCAAGTAAGCTGCAGTGTTGATTGCTTCAGCCCATAGAAATTTGGGCAAGCCGGCATGTATCCTCATACTTCTGGCACGTTCATTCAGAGTTCTGTTCATGCGCTCTGCTACACCATTATGTTGCGGTGTCTTGGGAACTGTTGTCTCCATCTTGATCCCATTGTTTGCGCAAAATCTCTGAATCTACTGTCTCTGTACTCTCCTCCATTGTCAGACCTCAACCGCTTGACTTTCAAACCAGTCTCATTTTCCACCATGGCCTTCCATTTTCTGAAGATATCGAAGACTTCTGATTTCTTCTTCAGAAAATAAACACACCTTCCTTGTTGAATCATCGATGAAGGTGACATAATATAATGAGCCTGCAAGAGATGGAACTGGGGATGGTCCCCATACATCAGTATGAACCAATTCTAACCTTTCTGTCTTGGGTGTCTTGCCAATCTTTGCAAAACTGACTTTCTTTTGTTTGCCAAAGATGCAATCCTCGCATAGTCTGACATCTACATTCTTTAGATCCGGCAGCTTCCCTTTTGACAAAAGTGTCTTCATCCCTTTCTCGCTCATATGGCCAAGCCTTTGGTGCCATAGGTTTGATTTTCCATCAGCATCTGCTACTGCAATGATATTCTCTAAATTGAGGTTACATAGAGAGTACCAGTCTTCTTACCACGAGCAATGACGAGTGCTCCTTTGGTAATCTTCCATTCACAGCCTGAAAAGGTTGTGCTATATCCTTCTCCATCAAGCTGTCCAACAGAAATCAGATTTCTTTGAGGCCAGGAATATGTCTCACTCCTGTCAGCTTCCAGGTGGTCTGGTTGGCAACTTTAGTCGGATGTCTCCTTTTCCGACGATCTTTAAGGTTTCATCATCAGCAAGATGAACCTTCCCAAAATCACCACTGACATAGTTCTCCATGATTTCTTGGCATGGGGTGGAGTGGAAAGATGCCCCTGAATCCAGATCCATGATTCAATCGGACTGTTGACGCTTAGAATCATGGCATCACCTGTCTCCTCTGTCACGTTGGCAGATTCTTGTGCACCGGTATATTTCTTCAGTGCTCGGCAATCTCTTTTAAAGTGACCTTTCTTGCCACAATTATAACAGGTAAAATCTTTCTTTCCCGTTCTAGATTTTTCCCGTCTGGATTTTGATCTACCACGATTTGAATATCTTTCTGAAGTTCTTCCTCTAGACTCCGTGTGCAAGGCTGATGAGGTTGATGCTTCACCCGATTCTCTCCGTCGAATTTCTTCACTCAGTACCAGATCTCGAACATCGTCGAATTTTAATTTGCTGTTTCCCGACGAACTGCTGACTGCTGTAACAGTAGCATTCCAACTGTCTGGTAGAGATGATAAGAGAATTAAAGCTCGAACTTCATCATCGAACTCAATTTCCACTGAACTCAACTGGGTTGGTGATTGTGTTGAGTTCATTTAGGTGTTGTGCCACCGATGCCCTTCCGTCATCCGCAAATTGAATAATCGCCTCATCAAATGAACTTTGTTTGAGGCCGATGGCTTCTCATACATACTGGAGAGAGCCGCCATAAGACCCGCCGTGGTCTTTTCCTTTGCTATGTTGAAAGCAACATTTCGGGACAACGTCAGTCGGATGACTCCGAGGGCTTGTCGGTCGAGAAGAGCCCAGTCTTCATTCTTCATGCCCTCTGGTTGCTTCCTGAGAGAGGTTGATAAAGATTTTTCTGGTACAGAAAATCTTCAATCTGCATCTTCCAAAAGCCAAAGTCCGCACCATCGAACTTTTCAATTTTCACCTTCCCTTCGTCTGCAGCCATCGCTTCCACTCGAATCTGGCTTCTTTTGGATCGTTTCTGACAATTCTTGCGAACCACCGTGTATTAGAACACCACCGTCGACAAACTCGTATCGCCGACCGAATTTCACTATTCACGAAATTCACTATTCACGTGAATAGTAATGAATAGTAACCTCGCAGAAAAATTGACAAAATTCACAACCAAAAGCTCTGATTACCAGTTGTTAGGAAAATAAACGAGTACAAGTAATTTCCCTATAACCAGATTAGTGAGAATGCAAAATAAAAGCGGAAAAATAATACCCGAAAATTGATAACGGAGTTCAGCCAATTGTGCTTACGTCTCCGGGCTGCTGCAGATCTTTTACTAAGAGAGAAAATTTACAGGTGTTTACAAAACACTCACTACTCACAAGAAAGCTCTCTAGTATAGGAAGAAAGAAATGTTTTGGGATTATTTTGAAGCTAAATGGGTAAGGGTATTTATAGTAGAAACTTAGGGACTAATCTTTGAAAATACCCTAAAGTGCAATGACTAAAGTGAATTTACCCATTCCTATTTTCAACAAACATCTACCAAAATTTTACCAAACTTTGAAAACATTTTTCAAAGAAACATTTACCAAACTTTGAAAAAACATTTTCCAAAGTTGGTTGCCAAACTTTGAAACTTTTAACAATGCAATCATGTAAACACAGTGGAGTTACATCATGTCTGACTCATTATACTATTATGAGAAAGTTAGCTCTCATTCAACATACAACCTGCAGCATAAAGAATAAAATTACAATGATCACCCGCAAGGTTAAGTTCCACAAAGTTCTCAAAAAGCCTACTTTTTTTCTTTTGGTTCACAAAATAATGCCAAAGTTCAGCTAATATCCTGGCATCTTCTCCATTTAAACATTATACCATGAAAAAAACCTAAAAGAACAAATAACAAAAGGAAAGAGATGTTAACTAATCTCCTTACCAATTGCAACATACAATTTTCATCGCCTTGTCAATCGTGCTAGCATTTTATGAGTTTCACATCAAGTGTCAATCCCTTTTCAAGCATCTCTTCAGCAAGCCTCACAGTCTCCTCTTTTCTTTTGCTCTTCGCATATCCGTTGATCAACATCTTATACGCCATTAAATCAGGTGCAAAACCCTGCGTTGCCATTGAATCAAAGACATCCTTTGCCTTATTCATCTCACCAGGCATGCAATACATTCTGATCATATCCTGTATGTAAATCCATTAGCCTTCACACCTTTTTGATCCATCTGCTTCAGTACTTCACGAGCTTTATCGGTTGTTCCTTGTGCGCTAATAGCATCCAACAAAATGTTACAAGTTTCAATATCAGGAACAATATGTTCAGCGACCATCTTACTAAGCTAGCTTGTCGCTTCTTCACATTGGCTTGAATTGCACAATCCATGTATTAAACAACTATAGGTGACAATGTTGGGTTTTATATCTCTCTGAACCATTAGTTCAAACATTGTAATGGCTTCTTTAGTCCTCTTTTCCTTGCATAAACATCGATAATGAACTGAAGGTCACAACATCAGGATGGACTCCTTCATTCATCATCCTATCAAGCAAGCTCATCGCTTCTTCCCATTTCCCTGAATGACAAAATCCGTGAATCAAAGAATTGTAGGTCACGACTTCTGGTTTTACATTTCTTTGACACAGTAGCTCCAACATGGTGTTGGCTTCTTTGGTTCTCTTTTCCCCGCATAAAGCATTGATAAAAGAATTGAAAGTTGCTACATCAGGATCAACTCTTTCATTCATCATTCTATGGAGCAAACTTGTCGCTTCTTCCCATTTCCCTGAATAACAAAATCCGTGAATCAAAGAATTGTAGGTGATGGCGTCTGATTTTACATTTCTTTGACACATTAGTTCCAACATGGTGTGGCTTCTTCGGTTCTCTTTCCCTGCATAAAGAATTGATAAAAGAATTGAAAGTTACTACATCAGGATCGACTCTTTCATTCATCATTCTATCGAGCAAGCTTGTCGCTTCTTCCCATTTCCCTGAATGACAAAATCCATGAATCAAAGAATTGTAGGTCACCTTTACGAGTCATTAGTTCCAGAATTTCACTAGCCTTTGATGACTTTCCCTCCTTGCATAAACAGTCTATCATGGAATTAAAAGTTACAGCATCGGGTGAAATTTCAGATCCAATCATATTTTCAAAGAATTTTGTGGTCAGTCTCCACTCACCAAACTTGCACAAGGCACGGATTAGCATATTATAAGTGGCTACATTAGGCTCTATGCCTTTTTGTGTCATTAAATCGAATAGAGATATTGCTTCTTGGATCTTCCATCGTTGCAAAGAGGATCAATAAAAGCATTTAAGGTATACACATTAGGAGAAATCTCCTTGTCAAACATGGCAGCTAATAATCATTTTGCTTCATCCCAACGACCAGCACTGCAAAATCCATTAACGAACTAAAAGTAACAACATTTGGCTCAATTCTCCGATCAAACATATCTTGAAAGATAATGAAAGCCTTATCCATTTGTTTCTCTTTACAAAACCCATCAATAATTGTATTATAGCATATCACATTAGGTTCAAAGCTTCCATTTACATTCATCTTTATCAGCAAAACAACTGCAAAACGAATATTCCCTGAGTTGCAAAGTCCCCTGATAATAAAACCATAAGTCTATTGATTGCACATATAACCGTTGTTCAATAGTTTCCAAAACAACCCCACTGGCTCGGCAATCTTACCCTCATCAATCAGCCAAAGCAGCGAATTCATGGTATAGTGGTCAGGTTGAAGACCAAGTTTTATAGTCATAGCCAACACAGAGAAACCCAAGATCACTTTCTTCAAATTGCACAAAAAACGGAGCCAAATGTTAATTGCAACGACATCAACTTGCAATTCAATACAATCCATGTAACATCCCAAGGGATTAAAATTTCGTATGATATTTATAAAAATAGTCTGACAAAAATTTTGGTTATCAAGGAATTTTGAAAAGATTGAGGACTTTAAATGTAATTTTGTTCTTCATTGATTTTAGTTAATTATATCATTCACGTGGGTTGTTCATACTTTGGTTGGTGTGAATTGTTTTTTTTCTATTATTATTATTTTATTTAGATTGACATGAACCACACAATTGAGATATTTTGAAATTATTTGGAGTATTTTATGAGGTATTATCCGTGCAATAGATGGAACCAAAATAAACCTCTAACCTCAAACTTTTCTTTGTAAACCCCAAACAAAAAAAGAAATGACGAAAAAGCTCGGTCACAAGAAAACGTTTGGGTCCAGTGATTCAGACTTCTTTTTTTAAGATACCGACGGTTAAAATGTTTCCCTCGTCAGTAATAGCAGCACAGCTCTAAAGAAGCCTTATCAGACGATTGTCGGTGATGATCGAATCCATTCTTATTCAAAGAAATCGACTAAATTTTGTTAGATCTTTGACGCTCGATGATGTTTTTGGATGATCGGAGGTTGGATTCTTGATGTGGAGCTTGAGGAGGTTGATTACAAATTGAAGCTTAAAGAAGAATTGAAAATAAATGGAAAATAAATGATGAGAGCACGTGGGTTTTAGGAAAAAGTTAATAAAGGATGAAGGGTAAATCACAACATGAGTAGTCCAAGTTTGGTGAGAATTCAACCTTTTCTTCTATTTTCTATATAGTTATGAATATTGTCTAATAGTTTGAATAAGATTATTTTGGTCACTTATCTTGGTAACTAAGTATTAAATTGACCCTTTGAGTTTTTAATTTTGTCAGTTATGTCCCTCTATTATAGAAATGATTTTAATAAATTATTTTTATGGCTAGGAAATTTATTTTGGATTCGGGATCGTATATTAGAAGGTTCGAGCTCTTGAGAAAAAGATTTGAAACTAGAAATTGAGTTGGTGAGCTCAAATTCAAGAGTTATTGTTTGGGTTTTGTCGACATATTGAACCCGATTTCGAAGTCTGTTTTGTCAAATTCGAACCTGGAATTATTAGAAGTTGAATTAAAGATCGAGTGCATTCGAATGGAATTTAAATGGTCAATCAGTATGGCACGGAAATTGAGGTAATACTTTACTACCTCTTTATGTTGTATGGATCATGTGAATATTGGTAAATGCATGAATAAGATATTATTGGTCTCATATGTGTAGTTAATTAATTTCTACACTCGATCCGAATACGATAAAGATTCGGTAAATGTTTATGGTTCAGATGACTTTTATAAGATTTTGATGGAATGTTAGAATTAAAATTACAAGTTCTGTGTTTAGTGATAAAAGAATCTGCTTGGATCTGTAACATATAATTTATTTCATCAAAGGTAATTGGATGAGACATTATGAGAATACACCGGTAGGATAAAATTACGGAAATACCCTTATATTGTAAAAAGATAAAATTTGATCATAGAAGTTGGATAAAGGATTTTTAAAGACATATTGATTCGATAAAATTTCAGATGTGCATAAGAAATGCTAGTTTTGATTAGAAAATTTTGATATTTGGTTTTTAACCCCAAGGTGGTCTGTACAAGCTACTAGAAGTTGTTAAGGGAATCATTTCAAGAGCAGAGAATGTTCAAGAAAACAATTAATCATAGGATCTCTATATTATAATTATTTTTGTTAAGAGTTAATACTGAAATTATTTGGTTAAGAAATTACGAAAATGCCCTTGAGAGGTAAAAATAGTTTGAGTTAAACTTGAATGAGAAAGTACTTTGAGGATTCGTATTTAACTCGATAAATTACGGATTTAATTGTTAAGATCCGTATTTGTATAGAAAAATTTCCTGATAACCTGTTTGTAACTTCTGAGAAGGCAATTAACCTGAAAATGTCTGGGTTAAGAATAAATTAGTGAGGGTGCTCTTTTGTAAGAATTGTTCGAAAGGCCTGGAAAAGATGATACGTTTGAATTAAATAATAAGATTGGATGGAAGAAAATGATTGAAATGCGTTGGATCAGTAAAATGATCAAAATACCCTTTTAATGGAAATGAATCAAGAATATCACCAAGCCCGGGAATGAATGCACATCCTCAAGCTTTGAAATGAATGAAAAAACATTGAGCACCGAAAGGACCAAAATACCCTTATGGCCAAGAATAAGTAAATGATTTGGATTCATTAAGGAATTCAAATAAATATGGATGTGGCATTGCCTTAAAAAGTTATGGAAAACACCTTATGCGGGTCGATCAACGATAATACTATATCAGTAATTGAATGACATAGATATCACTTGAATGTGTGTTCGTCTTCTCAAGTTTGGATTGACGATAATTCGGTAATTACTCAGCTCAACTCTATAATGTATTCGGTACTAAGAAGTGGATATTCGTTAGACAAATTTACCACGGAGACCATATTGAACTGAATGAAAATACTATATGTATTCGAAATTTAGAAACGTCCGAATTACTTTGGAAAACTCTGAAGTAACCGAGATAACTTGACTGCTAAAGGAATTAATTAATCTTTATGACTGGGGATTAAATAAGTGATTTGGATGAGTCTGGAACACTAATGAACTTGCATAATGTATTGTTGTTATGGTAACGAACCACAAATCAAATACGTTAGCATTTCTTGATACCGTTGAAACGTGGAAATGAAATACAGACTATTGGAAGATATATTCAGCGATGATTCTAGAGATGATCTATGTATATACATTTTGGTATTAAAGAGTTAATGCTATAAAAGGACAATGAATTGAGCAGTCGACAAGCATCAGTTCTAGAGTTGTTTGATAATTTGATCGATTATCATAATTGGTAAATGTCCTGAATCTTCATTTCTTCTTTATCAACTCAAATCACTCCAGGCGTTCTTGAACACTTTCCTGATGCACATGAAAACATAGTGGGATTCTAAGTATCAACTTTAAGTGTCCGATTAGATCGGTTAGTAATCAATCCTCTCCAATGGAACCTTGTTCCTGTAATCCGATCAAATTGCACAAGCTTCATGTTATCCATACTGATAACTATAAAATGCCTCTGAAAAATACTTGGATACTCTAGTGTGTTCCACATGTACTACATGACTGTTTTATATGTTTTGAAATGAGTTTTAACAAAATTATTGATTTACTGGTTTATGAACCATGGCAACATGGTATGTGATAATTGGTTACGGTTTTCATCGAAAACTATGAATTGTTATTGATTTATGGACCATGAAATATACTAGTTACTTATGGAACTATTTTATTGGGATATTATATGGGTAGACTGGAGATACATCTCTGATTAAGCTAGAAATTTCTTACGGACCTAAGGTAATCCTTGGGTAGGCTCTCAGGCCCCAAGGCACTCTCTTGGGTTAATCACGGAACTACTTATGGTGTACAGGTGGAAATCAGTTATATGGTTTATTTCATTACTATGATTATGACATATGACTGGATGACGACCCAGGTATTACGATTTATTGCCAAAATTGATTTCTACTGAATTTTTATATGGATAGGATTCTGGAGTATGAAGGCACAACCCTGATCCAGCTGGCCTTACGGACCTAAGGATACCCTTGGGTAGGCCCATGGGCCCCAAGGTATATCCTTAGGTTGGCTCTCTTTGCTGTGTGCTTAGGGTAAGCCCTACGGACGCAGTTCTGGGGAACTGCATGACGGAGTTGGTTGGAGGGTTCCACTATAGTTTTAAAAAGATTTATATCTTTTCACTAGTTTTGATTGTAACACACTAGACATCCTATTCGATCTCCTAAAAACGTGATATTATGAAATGTTTCCTATGAATTGAGATATTCATGGCTTCTATTCGATGAACTACCAGTGGAACCTCTGATTATCCCGAAAATTTGTATACGTCTGATTTAATAAGGAAAGTATGGCTTTCCATTTATCTGCATGTCCTATAGCATAATCTGGTAGTTCTGTATTATTGAGCTTTCCGAAGCTCACTCCATTACTCACCATTGCAGGTTAAAAGAATTGTATCAGTACATCTATCGACATCAATAAGGGAGTTATTCTGGTGTTGCTTTCGGAGGATGATACATGTGATTAGGGGGCATATAATTGTATTTTGTTTTATATATGAGTCTGAAAAGCTGTTTTATTTCTGCATACTGATAAATGATTTTATAAGTTTACATGTTCTGATAAAAAGTTTTAAATTTTCCGTATTTTTACAGTGGGTCGCTCCGGTGACCCTAATGTGACACTTCAGATCAGATCGGGTTATCCGAATCGGTCTGAGGGTGTTACAATCCATCATCTGTTTACACATGGAAACAACAAGCTCATAGTGTTTCATCTTGGAAACTGCTCCAAGCAGATGGTTGAAAGCCACAATTGAGGGAAAGGGTCTCAACGAAATCATGGGTGGGTTTAGACATACCCATATTGACATATTTATCAGAAGCAGCAGAATAACTGGAAAGGAGACACGAAATGGGCAGCTTGGAGAAAGAAAATGGAACAGAATTCCGTGATTCAGGACCTGAAATCTTCAATAAAAATTTTGACTGAAGAATCTCGATGATGGCCTTGGTTTTCGATAAACTATACTCCTGTAAAATCATCGACTTTCCAAAGGACTTAGGCTGCTTGAAACTACCATTAAGATCACCTGCAAGACAGCTCGTGGGAGTAGCTTAAGAGAAAACTATATCATCACCAGGTACTTCTTTACATTCAGGTGCAGGGAAGGTATTATCATCACCAGTCAGATATTTCGACACACTGCTAGCAGAAAACATGACCGCAAATGGCAAAAACAGGATCATGATGTGTACCCTGTAAAAATTATTAAGCGTTATATTAAGTATACGGATCCCTTTGGAAAGATGAACTTTTTCAGCTCTTTAGCCAGATACTATGAAAATTGGGATTGAAAAATACTTCACATCTCAGCCAAGTCACACAGGATCAAATTCACATCGTTGGCACCAGTTCTGTCGTCGGAGTAAATTAAAAGCAGGCTCCGTTGCATTATTGGATCCAGAACTGTTCACGAAGTGGGATTACTACCTTAAACTCTATGATCCCTCATAATATCGAGCTTTCTTTCTTATAAATAGGCTTCCCTCTATTAAAAAAGGGCTAAAATATTAAACACACTGATCACTCCACAAAGTTGAAGGTTTGTTGACCTTTCTTGATTAAACACACCGAATAGAAACTACATCACCTTTGGTCTTAAAATATTAAAAATATTAATGACAATGAACTTGCTTACACATCAAAATACAATCATATAAACAATACAGAGAAGTCAATGCAACTGTAACAACAGTCAGATTCTGAGCAATAGAGCCATATTTACAATGAAACATTACGTTCAAGTAAGCCTCCAATGGCCACAACCACGACTTTAGTGCTGATTCAAATTACAACTGCAGCAAAAGGAAAAAAATTATAGCAATCACACAAAAGGTTAAGTTCCAAAACGTTCACAAAAAGCCTCATTTCTCTTTTGGTTCACAAAATAACGTCAAATGATGGTTCAATAAAAAATGACAAAGTTCATCTAATATCCCGGCATCATCTCCATTTCAGCAGTAACAATGAAAAAACTGAAACAAAATAACAAAAAGAATGAGATGTTAATTAATATACTTACCATCTGCAACATACAGCTTTCATAGGCTTGTCAACTCTCTTAGCATGCTATGAGTTTCCACATTAAGTGTCAATCCCTTTTGGAGCATTTCTTCAGCAAGCCTCGCAATCTCCTCTTTTCCTTTGCTCCTTGCAAACCCATTGATCAGCATCTTGAAAGCCGTTAAATCAGGTGCAGAACCTTGGGTTGCTATTGAATCAAAGACATCCTTTCCCTTGTTCATTTCACCAAGCGCAGTATACATTCTGATCATTGCCCTGTAAGTAAATCCATTAGGCTTCACACCATGTTGATCCATTACCTTCAGTACTTCACGAGCTTTGTCGTTTGTTCCATGTTTGATAATAGCATCCAACAAAATGTTAAAAGTTTCAATATCAGGAACAATATGTTGAGCGACCATCTTACTGAGCAAGATTGTGGCTTCTTCACATTGGCCTGATTTGCACAATCCATGTATTAAACAACCGTAGGTGACTATGTCAGGTTTTACATTTCTTTGACTCATTACTTCCAATAAGGTAATGGCTTCTTCTGTTCTCTTTTCCTTGCATAAAGCATCGATTAAAGAATTGAAAGTTACTACATTAGGATGGATTCTGTCATTCATCATTCTCTCGAGCAAGTTTGTTGCTTCTGTCCATTTACCTGAATTGCAGAATCCATGTATCAAACAACTGTAGGTGACTATGTCAGGTTTTACATTCCTCTGACTCATCAGTTCCAACATGGTAATGGCTTCTTCAGTCCTCTTTTCCTTGCAAAAAGCATTGATTAAAGAATTGAAAGTCACAACATCAGGATGAACTCCTTCATTCATCATTCTATCGAGCAAGCTTGTTGCTTCTGTCCATTTACCTGAATTGCAGAATCCATGTATCAAACAATTGTAGGTGATAATGTTGGGTTTTACATTCGTCTGACTCATCAATTCCAACATGGTAATGGCTTCTTTGGTCCTCTTTTCCTTGCAAAAAGCATTGATTAAAGAACTGAAAGTCACAACATTAGGATGGACACCTTCATTCATCATTCTATCGAGCAAGCTTGTTGCTTCAGTCCATTTACCTGAATTGCAAAATCCATGTATTAAACAATTGTAGGTTACAATGTCGGGTTTTACATTCCTCTGACTCATCAACTCCAACATGGTAATGGCTTCTTCGGTCCTGTTTTCCTTGCAAAAAGCATTGATTAAAGAATTGAAAATCACAACATCAGGATGGACACCTTCATTCATCATCCTATTGAGCAAGCTTGTTGCTTCTTCCCATCGCACAGAATGACAAAATCCATGAATCAAAGAATTGTAGGTGATGGCATCTGGCTTTACACCTTTACGAGTCATTAGTTCCAGAATTTCAACAGCCTTTGATAACTTCCCCTCCTTGCACAAACTGTCTATCATGGAATTAAAAGTTATAGCATCGGGTGAAATTTCAGATCCAATCATATTTTCAAAAAAATTTGTGGTCAGTCTCCACTCACCAAACTTGCATAACGCACGGATTAGCAAATTATAAGTGACAACACTTGGCTTTATGCCTTTTTGGGTCATTAAATCGAATAGAGATATTGCTTCTTGGATCTTCCCATCCTTGCAAAGAGGAGCAATAAGAGCACTTAGGATATACGCATTAGGAGAAATCCCCTTGTTAACCATGGCAGCTAATAATCGTTTTGCTTCATCCCAACGGCCGGCGCTGCAAAACCCATTAACTAAAGAACTAAAAGTAACAACATTTGGCTCAATACTCCGATCTAACATATCTTGAAAGATAATGAAAGCCTTATCAATTTGTTCCTCTTTACAAAATCCATCAATAATTGTATTATAGCATATTACATTAGGTTCAAAGCTTCTATTTACATTCATCTTCATCAGTAAAACAACTGCAAAACGAATATTCCCCGAGTTGCAAAGCCCCCTGATAATAATACTATAAGTGTATTGATCACACGGGTAATCGTTGTTCAATATTTTCCAAAACAACCCCCTTGCCTCAGCAATCTTACCCTCATCAATCAGCCCAAGAAGCAGAGCATTCGTGGTATAAGGGTTAGGATGAAGACCACGTTTTATAATCATGGCAAACGCAGAGAAACCCAAGTCCACTTTCTTCAAATTGCACAAACAACGGATCCAAATGGTCATTGCAAAAATATCAGGTTGCAACTCACTACAGCCCACCATCTGTTTACACATAGAAATAACGAGTGCATAGTGTTTCATCTTGGAGAGTGCTCCAAGCAGATGGTTGAAAGCCAAAATTGAGGGCAAGGGTCTAATCGAAATCATGGAATTGAAAAAACCCAGAGCTTCATCAAGTTCAAGGGATCCTGATTTACACTTATTTACGACCAATATTTCGAGATGGGTGGTTTTTGACATACCCATATTGACATATTTATCAGAAGCAGCAGAATAACCGGAAATGAAACAAGTAATGGGCAGTTTAGAAAAGGAAGAAGGAAGAGAATTACCAGAGAAAGGTAGAATCAAAGCAGGAAATGAGGAGGATATTCTCTTCATCGTATGTAAACCTAAACCTGCCTTCATTACCTTGGTTCCCAATTTCTTATTTTGAGACGACAATACGTATAAGGATCAAAATGTCAAATTACTCGTTATGAAATTTGTTTTATTTAGTAGGGTTATTTCACCTCTATCATATTCAAATTTAGGTTAAATTATTTAACTTATGGATTTATAATTATTCTTTGGAAAGAGAATCGGACCTCGTTAAAAAATCATATATCTAACCATGATTTTTACTTGTTGGTTTTATCAAACAATGCAATGCATTACTACAAAGCAAAAATTAGGAGTGAATAAATACTTGGTTAAATCAAATTAATTTAAATTTTAAGATTTATTCAATTTTAATAATTTTAGTTGGTTGTTGATTTTAGATACAATAGAATTGATTATACATATATATTTAGGTAAATACATAGTAGGTAAACTACATAGTGACCAGTTATGTAGTTTCTTTTCATTTTTATCATCATTTTTGAATTTTTGTCAAATTATATTACTTAACTATTTAAATGTATTCAATCAGATCATTTGTCGTTAACATTTAAAGAAATTGCTTACACGTCGGTTAATAAAACTAATATAATTACATATTTGATCAATGCTACTTACATATTCTATCAATTTAGTCTTAATTTTAATAAATTAAAATAAATTTAATTTTCGAATCAGATCATGTCTGTCAGGATCATCTTTCGGGTAGGCCCGGAATTGGGCTTCGACTTGGATTGATTTGGGTTAGAGTCGCCACCGACCACTTTAAAACGAATTTAGGTGGGTCGGACACCATCTTACCTGATCTGCATTGTACCAGAAACGTGTTGGGTTCGGGAGTCGGTTACGGTCAAGGAAGGATTAGCACCCTTGAACCGCCCTTTCGGTACCAATTAATTTATCGGTTGTCTTAATAACGAAAATTAAAATTAAAATTTTAAAAACCCGATTCAAATTACTTACCTCTGATTAGTTTGAATTTCTCTAATAGACAAAATAATAATAATAATACATAAATATTAAATTAATCAAAGAAAAAAATAAATAAAATAATAAATCAAAAGAAAAAATGAAAAAAAAGAAAATTTAAATAAATTGAAAAATAAAAAAAGAATAAATCAAAGAAAGAAAAAATAAAATAAATAAAAATATAATGAAAATAAAAAAATAAATCAAAGACAACGAAAAAAGGAAGAATAAAAAATAATTAAAAAAATTAATGAAATAAAAAGAAAAAGAAAAAAAGGTTAAATTTTAAAAATAATAAAATAAAAAATAATATGAAGAAAAAATAATTTTATAAAAAATAAAAAAAAAATAATAAAGTAAAATAAAAAACTTAGATGATCAAATTGGAACAAACTGAAATTAATGGATTAAATTGGTATTAACAACAACTGGAAAGGACTTAATACAAATTAAAAAATAAACGAGAGACCAAATCAAAAAGACTAAACAACACAAGCACTAAAGATGTAAATGACCCAAATGCCATAAAACCATGGCCCTAACTCTAAATCTACAAAAAACCACGGGCTCAAAAAAAAATCATGTAACAATTTTTTATTAAAAAAGTAAAACTTAAATTAAACTCACTTGGCCAT